ATATATATATATATATACATATATATAATGTATATTGAAATATACGTAAAAATTATAACGTATAAAAAGTAAAATTATAAATAGAATATTAAATGCCTGCAAATTAAAAATTGTGCAATCTGCAAATTATGAATTGTATTAGAATTAAGCTTCCAAAAGAGCTTAATTCTAATTCATGTAGTTTTACGTTCATTTAACTTTCCGTTTTTCCTTTTATTTTGAAAGACTTTTGTGATAAAAGTTACATATAATAAAAGTTACATACATTAATTTTTATAGAAAGTAGGATCTCTATTTTTTTATTCCATGCTTTTCATTAGTACTGCCGATTTCTTATCGCTTCTGAAATATTAAAGTTCGTATCAAAAGGATAGATTTGTTAGATTAAACGAATATTTTTATAATTGATCGAGTTAATTCTCGATTTATATCGCGAAAATGTTTTATTGATTTTTAAATCGTCTATTTTAAGAATTTCATTTTATGGAGATTGTGCATGGAAATGTTTTGCTTCTGCATATTGCATTAAATATTTGGGTGCAGAGCTTTACTAAAACTCACGTGCATTTCATTTTGGAAATAAATATTTTTCTTTTATCATCTGGTAAAATTAAATTTATATTTTCAATCCTCTATCACGATATTCCATGAAAAACAAGATTTTAGTAACAACAGTATACGAAGTTTCGGAATTGTCATATAGGATTTTTATGCACTAAAATTCTTGCAAATAATCGCAGATTGCAAATGGACAATAACTAATTTATTTAACATATCGCAATACTTTTTACGAGATTTCGTGATAAAAAGTATTTTGACGTTTTTGCAAATCTATTGTTCTATTGAAAATTTTCCTTAAACTGACAGATACATTTTTCATTACTTTTTCGTTTAGTATCATCCATTCTGAATTTTTAATTACAGATAACAATGAAAAGAAGAGCACCAGTGAGACAAAGACTACAACTGGCAAGATTAATGAACAAAATAAGCAAAACGGTCAACAGCGGCGCAACGACAGTCAGAAAAATCTTTTAATTGATTTGTCAAACGATCCCAAACCAGCGGGAAATTCATGGGTGAGTGATGAAACGCTGAGAGTTTCTCTTTGACGCGTCGTCGTCGTCGTCGTCGTCGTCGTCGTCGTCGTCGTCGATCAGCAAAAACCGACCGATCAGCAAAGCTATACTATAATCCCACGGCGTTTGATCCCTTTCCAGTTTGCTACATCTCATCGATAGGTACTCCACGTCGCGTTGCTATGTATATACGTCATTGATCTGCATCGCGTTATAGGACATAAGAAGCTATTCCTTTGTAGAAGGAGAATATTTGAAGCAAAATTAAATATTTAAAATAGCAGAGTATTTTTGTTTATTTAAAAAAAAAAAAACTTTAAACATGCATGTGTTTTTTGTTTGCCTGGAGGCGCGCCAAAAGAAATTTTGTCCGCTATTCTTCAACTCAATAAGCATGGAGGATGTTAGCGTGTATATTTATATATTTTATTAATTATAATTAATTAAAATACTTAGAATATTTATAATTCTGTTTACACATGTTCCTTAAAAGTCTTAAAAATATCAACACACAGATATATTTATTTATATTTACATATATTTACATATATTTATTTATTAACATTCACATATTCTATTTTTTTCTATTTCTTAAAGAATTCTACAAAAATTAAAAATTCCAGAAATTAATAATTTTATACTTGAAAAACAATTTAAAAAGAAATTAATGAATTAACCGAAATAATCAAGTTTACTTTTAATTTATATTATTTATATTATCTATAATTAAATATAAGTGTAGAGGAAAAGAGATAAAAATTCATCGAATAGCGTGAAACGTTTGCTTCTTTTCAGGTATGCTTCGAGGAGGATTCGGATGTGAAAAAAAATCAGAAGAAAAGCGCAGCGAGTAACAACAGTATTCCTATGACAACGCTTAGGCATCACACGACGGCATCCACAACCCCAGCTCATCACGTGGTGCCCCGACCGAGCGCCGGTTTCAAAGTGCAAAATGCCTGGGGCGAGTCCAGATCGGTCGATTTGATGTGCTCGTAGCAGGCAAAATAGCCAGCGGCCGACAGCTTCAGGGATGTGCCGTTGATCACAGGCCTCTGGAAACACCTCTCGGACAACGGCCGATCCAAAAAGACCAACGGCAATCATTAAAATCCTCGCCGAATTATCTCGGCAACTTCCGATTGCGAGTTTAAAATTCGAAAAGGTGACGATCTTCGCCGATTATTCATATTTTTATTGAACGCTGAAGAGAGACAGCGGGGATGCCAACGCAATGGTGTCTATTTTTGTGTGATCTTAATGAGACTTAAGTCCGACGAAGTTTCTTGTATTCGTTAGAGGGGAAAGATTGCGGATGATTCCTATTAACATACGAAGACGTTGACATACGATAGTGATTTCTTTTTGAAAGAGAAAATCAACCGGCAGCAGAGAGATCATGGTAATCAGGGTGGGATCAATTTCTAATGAATTTTGTATAATGCGTAATAATATACATATATCTGTGCCAATTACTTTACATACATATCGCACAAACATTACTAATCGAAAGTGTGAGTGTTAAGAATTAAGACACTCGCTTTTTATTTATATTTTTAATGATATTAACTCTGGAAATTATATATAGATTAAAATTAGTGTCTTATAACTCGCGTTTTTATAAAGTTCATGGCTACAGAGAAATAAAATTAATTTTTAATTTTAAAGTTCATTGGAGAATTGAAAGTCTTAATGTGCTCAAATAGATAATTTGTCAAACAGAGCATTTTTCTAAAAATAATTTAATTATCATTTAAATTAATTCATAAATTTAATGTCCTTTAATAAATTATAATTAACGTGATTAAGTATTTATTATTTTATTCTAAAATGAGAGTTTATAAAAAGTATTATGAAATATATAATCGGGATATATAAAAGTAAAAAAATAATAAAGTTGAAAAATAATAGTCGATATATCACTTATTGTATTTCTTGCATCAAGATACACAGTAAACCGAAATTTCGACGGATAAAAAATACGCGAGTGTACACTGAGCCCCTAATACTAAAAATATGTCCCGTCCAAATCGGAAAACATCGCTGCCATATTTTAATCCCGTATATAATTCAAATGTTTTACACACGTACACACGTATATATTTACGCGGTGCAGTGCGCGGCTAAATTACTTTAAAGCAATTTTCGAGTGAATTCTGGTCACGTAAAAATACGTATTCCAGAGTTAATATACATTTGTTATTTTTGTTAAAAATGTACTATGGTAAAAGAAGAGAAACGAACAAAAAAATAAAATTAAAAAAAAAACGACAGGTTTCGTAGATCGATTCCCTATTACGGTGCTGGATAGAAATGATCTTTTACGTAATTGTTGATGGTCAAGCCTTGATAGAATAGCTGGACTATTTCTTAATTGAAATTCATTAAGTTTCCCGCAAAAATGACATTTGTTATAAAGGAATATCGAAAAAGCCACGTTATTTTCATGTATTATTAGATATCATTTGCAAATAGCTCATACGTTACATGGAAATTTTATACTCTTGAAGGGAATTTTTATATATTTCAAAGGTAATTTTTATATTCTCCAAAGGAGAATTTATCCGATGGACTTGTTACGCTGGAGATTTCGTTGATAATATCAGCGGCGAGCGATTGCCATCGAAATATCACAATATTGCATATTACATATTAAATATTAATGTGTTGATGTATACGTGCGCGTAATAGTTGATAGGGCGTAATAATGCCGTAAATAATCGAGAAGCGTTAACATCATTTAGCGTTAACTATATTGATATTTAATTTATCGATTGTTAAACCGTAAATATATTGTATTCTGGGTTTAGATATTGTATCTGTAATTATCATGATGACGTCTTATTGGATAGCATTAAGATCTTTGTTTCTATGTGATACGATTATCGATTTGGTTATTCTTGTGAATAAGTAAGTTACAGAGGGTTGCATTCGATTTCGATGAAGGTATAGCAATGTGTATACATACATGATAACTTACTGTCCATTAGTCAGTGTTATATTCGAAGAGAAGCATTTTTAGATTATCGAATCAGATTATATCGATTCTAAGGTAGTTATACTCTGATGGAGAATTTTCGTAGGTTTGCAGAATTTATCGCGAGACGATGCATGAAACAGTCGGAATAGTCACTCTTTTGTACATTAATGCTTTTTTGATCCAGATTCTCGAAAACATTTTTTTCTTTTTATTATTTTTTAAAGAAATCTGAATTTGTAGATAAATATTCTGCTTATTTTTACATGAAAATTTTTATAATTATTAATTTAAGAACGTATTATTAAGAAACATTATACGTACAAACAATTTTTGTAACACAAAATATTGAAAATTAGTTTTAATGTGGATATTAAAGACTTTCTAATTTTTGTTTACCGTATCATCGATAATTTCTTTTGAATTAAAAAGTTTATAGATGACTGAATTTTGCAGTGTTAAGATATATTTTATGGTTAAAAAAAAATTAAAACATGCTAAGCAAAATATCAATATTTAACAAGACCCAGAGACGAACAAATAAGATATTTAAATTAGCAGATCCTTTTTAACTATTTAAAAAATGCTTTTGACTACGTTATTTTGTCATGTATGGACTAATGGCGATGTAAATCACAAACCGGACGTCTAGATATGTTGAGAATGCCGAGAACGATAAGCTCGAAACAACAGTAATTTTAATAACTGCGCACTAATTGCACATTGTCATCGCACTTGTGCATCGTATAACCACGGAAATGTTATATACATTTTGCGCTAATATTTGCTGTTCATAGTCTGTAAGCAGCACGAATCAAATATATGTATGTATCTCTGACATGTATGCATCTTCTGACGATTTATCCCTGCATGGAAGAAAAACGAAATCCCTCTTCTTTTATTAAAACAAATCCGAATATCGATTTATTCTGCTTTGCAAAGATTAATTAATCCCATCAATGATTTCATTTTATATTCAAAATCGTGAAAGTTATGTTAATTATTTTATTTTATCAACGACTATTATCACAAGCTAAACAGAAATCATTGGAACAGAATTGTTTTTTTTTTTAAGGATCAAGTGGTATGGTGTTAAAAATAGAAAAGGAAAAATATATTTTAACAGAATTTTATTTTTTCAGTACATCACGAATGTAACTTGTGAAAAAGAATAGTTTTCCAGACGCGTTCTGGTAAATCGAGAAAAAGCCAGTATTACGTACACGAGGATAGTCTTTTTGTGTATTCGTATTATTTTTAGATATTTATTTTTTTTCCTTATTTTTCCCGATTTATAAAGATTTCATCATCAATCTTCATAATTTTTTCCTTCTGATGGATTTTTATAAGAATCTCTTAAAAATTGGGCTGATTTTAAAAATCGTAAATTCTTTTTTCAATTACATTAATTGTCTTTTTTGAGAGATATAACCAGTGAAACACGAGATGAATACATTATCGAGAAGATATTCTAACACGGGCAGAATATCCTGAAAATATTTTCAAAATATTCTGATAATTTTTATGTAGTATATATTTATGTATCGTAATATTGTAAGAATTTTTGGGAGATATCTGAAAATACTACTGAATTCCCGAAATATATATTTTGATGATTCTGCAGATGCTGCAATCTCTAAAACTCGGAAAATATTCCGAAAAGTTTCGGTGTATTCTGTCAAATTTTTTATACATATACAAGATTAATTCAACTTATCTCTCGCTATATATATATATACACATACATATATAACTATAACTTTTCTAAGAGTATTTCTGTAACTATGGAGTTACAGAAATACTCTTAGAAAAATCATAGTTATATATGTCTTACTCCTTTCTCGAATTATTCGCAGGAATACCTTCTCTTCTCGCGTTGAATCAGTTCAATATTAAGAATAAAATCCTCGTGTCCGCCCTTTAAAAACTCCCTGACGCTTTCTAATTAGCGACGGAATATATTACATATATAATATACATATTACACATCGTAATTATATTACGCCTGGATGCTTGTCGATTTTGTTTGTTTTTTTCTTTCTTTCTCTGTCGCCTATCTTCTCATATAAATACTTAGCAATTATTTTTTTCTATTTACGAGCTGCTTATATTTAATCGCTATCTCGTCTTATTTGAAACTGATGTTAACAATCGTATATACCGCACGAGAACCGTACATTGCGATAATGATAGGTGTATTAAAAAAATATTTGCACTCCACGCTTTAAATGATTTCTTATCAACCTAACATAACAACAGCTATACAGTAATAATAAGTTGATCATAAAACTATATAACTATATAACTATCGCAATCATGCGCTGCGAAATATAATTCTTCTCTCTCTTTTTGTGTTGAAAAATAAATCTCCAATTACATTTCGTGTGTGCGCAAAAATCCATGTGCATGATATAGGTACATATAAAAGTCTCGTCTTCTTGACGGAAGCTCTTCAAATCGCAAAACTGTTATTCAGCGAGATTCTCGTACGGCAATCGAGCGCACCAAATTTGTCTGGCATGTTCATGATACGCAAAATGTCCCGCGTAAATGAATCCAATCACGTCTTTAAAATATAAAAAAGAAAGTTTAATTTGATTACACGCAATTCCGTGAAACAAAACATCTTTTATATTATATTTTAACATCGCGACTGGATCACTTTACACAACGACCTGAGATACAGCGTGCTCCGGAAAATTATAAGTATAAGTTAATAAAAATAAAATAATTTGTTCTTTAATAATCACAGGACTATTTAACAATCTTGTTAAATTATTTTCTCTAAATTATAATTCAATTGAATATGTTCATAGTAGATATAAAAATAAAAATATTCTAAATTGTAGATAAAAGAATTCAGATGAAGAAATGAAAAATTTATATACATCGTAATTAACAACAGTTTTTGATTACGATTAATGTTGAAACAATGCAACGTCCTTTACAAACTGTAACTTATACTCCTTTTACGGCGCACGTTGAATATTTTCTTTCATCCCTATCCTAACTTATAGGTATTCCCGATTAATCGATAACGGTAATAATATATGATACAACGTTTTCTCTTAAAAGCTACACTGAAATATTATCCCTTACTGGTTATTTCTTCGCACATTCGCTTCGCTTTCCATTCAATGGCAGCAAATTAATTGGTAATCCATGTAATGAAAAATATTCAGAATAATTCTTGCATCTCATAACAAAATTATATTTTAGTTAAGAGTTCCATTAACTTTTTATTATCTTATCTTATATATCTTCCTCAGACCTTTAGTAATCGGCGTTGTAAAATCATATTATAAACAGTGATGGATTAATGCATAAACAAACAAGGCATTTGTCTATGATGACAAATTTTTGAAAACAGAAAATTTTCAAAAATTTTAGTTGAGATAAATTTTTAATTTGTTAATTCAATGTTTTTGCACGAGTTACACTCAGCATATTTTATCAGAAACAATATTTTAAATATCAGCTAAAATGTATTGTATTTATATTACTTATTAAT